TGACAAGGACGCTGAAGTATTTGTAGTATTAGTCGTAGTGAGAAAGAGTAAACGGTTAGATATCGAGAATATGGTTAGATAAAGTAGAAAGAAAAGGTTTATGTGAGGGAATACCGGAACTTAAGATTTAGAAGATAATAAGTGAATTGAACTGCGCCATTATGATTGACTTCAAACTATTTTACCCAACGTATCCAACTACTGATTGCAGTTATCGCGCGGAGACCAACCAAGTAGTCTTCACCCAATAACATGGCTCAGACAAATAATCAATGACACTTTGGTTCGCTCGCTCCTAGCTTTCTGCCGACCGATTCCTACGTCAGACAAAATTTAGGGAAGGCGGCCGTTAGGAATACGTAATAAATGTCCCAACCACCTTAGTAGATGAAGATTCACAGCCTCATTACATATCTTATCACTTTGTTGTTCTAACTTATACGACCAACGGTTCTAAGATACTAGTGGTGGCTGGGTGGTTAGACTATTGGACTTCTAACTACTAGGTCGCAGGTTCAAGTCTTGTTGGACCTGTCTGGGTTTGGACAGTCAGGTAGTATCACTTTCACATAAACCGTAGCTCAAAGCGTCAGGCAAATGAGTTTGTACTTAGTGAATTACGTGAGACCAAAAACCTGCAGTCTATACACACCTTTTACAAGGTATAGGACTCGGTTTAGAATATAGATTATTGGTTTCTAGCTCAGTGATTCAATATTATTTCACTTATTATGGTTAACATAGACATCTCTTGTGAATTTTATGCGTGTGTGGAATTGTGTTGATATTCACTTCCAAGGAATCTTAAATAAGGACAAAAACACTATTTCCAAACTATAAGGTACTTACAAAACAATTCATGTAGATTACATATCGATTTACTAAGGACTAATTTCATCATTACATCAATTAGAAAGTGATCACAGTAAGACAGTATAAACAATCAACCGAAAAACAGTCGTAAAAAGGATGGTAATAATTTCACTAGGTCTTTTTTCGTATAATCGTATAAACAATTGAAGGCATATCTATTTAACTTAATACATGATAATTAGCATACAAAGATAGCAGATTGACTTAACGGATATGCATATTAATCATGTTGCCTGGTGAGGTGGTGTTATAAACGCAATTGACCTCGACAATTACAAATACAATAGATTTACAAACAAACAAAATACCTAGCATACATTTCCGATATTCAGACTGTGTCAACTTATTATGTGTTGTGGTACGATTTTTGGGACTGGTAGTTGAAAGCACACTCATTGTCTTGGCAATTTAGAAGTGTGTGTGTAATTGTTTCTTTTTGTGTAAAACAACGGCAAAATTGATCTGCTTTTTAATCTAATCTGATACTAGTAATATTAGTTACTAATCTTCGTTCCGGTTTAAAATGTTTGGATGCTACCTACTCAACATGTTACCATAATTATTCAAAATGTCGACCTGAATATTACACATTTTGCCCCCAAGTTCCCTGGTACGGTCGGAGGTGGGGAAAGTCAGCTCTTCCTCTCGAAATTCTCTCACATAGTCACATATATACAGCCACTATCAGAAAAGTCCTACTTATAGCCTTCTCGTGGTGCGGGTGTTCTTTACGAAATTGAGAGAACGAAAAGCGAATATCCGACACTTTAACCGGGTTGGTGGATATGGAGGATCTATCTAGACGAGTTGGTAAACCCTGATTCCAAACGAATGGTGCACATGGGCTCCAGGATCCTGACAGAACAAATGGTGTATGAACCCAATGGTTGGTCACCAGCTATCATATGGCTGCATTTCCTAACGTTGATCCACTGACTTGTGGATTAGATATGTAGGTCAAAGGCTCGAGGAGTGGCCTTCTAAGGAAGCTAATTGCTTCGATGTGGGCGCCCGTGCAGTACTCTAGCCCTCACGCAATTCGGGTGATGGGGTGTTGCGCATGTGTATTTGGTGACTCTTTATATCAATGTTTATGTGTTTAAATAAATAAATTTACACATTTTATACAGGTGATACGGTAGTTTTATTGTTATAATACATTTGACCTTCAACCATTAGGCTGCAGATTCATGCTTCACCTCTTCCCGCTTACTTTGTTTTAAATAGTTGCACAGTACTGTCATTAGCCCAAGTAAGAATAGTTTAATTCAATACCGAGTATATAAACCTATACTTGACAAAGTGAATCCTGTTACACTACTTATGTATAGGGGTTAATGAGAACACCCATATAACTGTTCCAAACAAATATAAGTCGGAAAAAAAGGATCCAAACATCTCTACTATGAGTCAATAACATAATATCATGATAAATAATAAAATTTGTTGATTTCACATGATTTATGTGTTCTCTCTTAATTTTTTATTATTTAATCAGATTAATCGTTAAACAGAAGATATGATTAGTATAATCTATCATTGTACAAGCTTATTGGATTTACATACATTTATTGATATGTTGTTTGACTAGTCAAATTGCAAGACATGAGACACAATTATTTTAAAGTAGTTCTATTGCTTTCTTTCGATCACTTTTGAGTTTTCCCTTATTCCTTCTGCTTTTATGATATAGTGATTGACGAAGATTAATAATAATAATAATAATAATAATAATAATAATAATAATAATAATAAAGTTCTAATTTTCGCTGAAGGGTACTTCAAATTATTTTTGAAAGGAAGAATAAGAATAGGTAATTGTATTACAGAATAATAAATGAATGAAATAAGATAATTCAGTCGATATTCTAAAGTTGAATCATTAAGACCTTTGAAAACTGGATTCAGTATCGTACTGTTGGGTATTTTCAAAAGAAAATATTTCAGTTATTCTTTTAAGTTGTTTGTAAAGTTATTTTTAAAAGCGATACTTAAAGAGGATAGTTGAAACCTCTGAGTTTTTTATTGACTAACTGTGAAGCAGTGGTTTAATGGTTCGATGTTCAATCACTAAGTGCCCAAGGTTAAAAGCCTGCCCCACTTACTTTAGTTTGGGCAATCGGGCAGTATCATTAGCCCCCACACTTACAGTATGTCTTATATCCAAATACTTGGTGAACAAGTTAGTTTGTTTTGGTCATGATTCAACGTAATTTGTTGATCTTCATATTTGGATGTTAGTATACATAAAACGAAACAAAATGGGTTGAGTTATACCAATCGATACATTATCTATCTAAAGGCTATGTATTTCATACACGCCTGTAGCACTGGAAAGAATGGGATTAAACAAGAAAACAAAGTATAGTTTACTCAGCTGACATTTTGTTTAAAAAACACTAATGAAAAGTTAGATGGGACTATCATTATCCTCTGTTGTAAACCATGTTCAATAACTAACGACTTTATAGGTATCAATGTCAAGGTTGGACTTGATAGTTTCATATAAATTGAGCAATGGATAGAGTAAGTAATAAATATATTTCTAATATTTTAATTTAACAGTTGAAGCTAGACCACCATGGAAAACCTGGAAGCACTGGGTATCCGTCTCGTTGTAGTATAGGACTCCTCAGTAGTGCGCATCCACGATGAAACGACCGTTCAGTGCTTCCAGGTTTTCCATGGTGGTATAGCTTCAATTGACTCATGATCTCAAATATTAAATTAATAGAATATTCACGCAAATTCTCTCTGATTATAATCATCATATGCTCACCAGCGACGGTCTCCAAGAGGTAATTACTGGAGTTCTAGTGAGAAGCCTTGACCAATGGAGTTAAACCGGGTCTGTTGTGAGATAGTAACTCACTAAAGACAATGGTAGACGGTGGTGCAATTTCGTGGATTGGTTGAAGTTAGACATTAACACCGTCGGATGCCAGCTCAGTGGTCTGGAGGCTAAGCGTTCACGCATGAGATCGATAGGTCCTGGGTTCCAATCCCGCGAGGCGGGATCGTAGATGCGCACTGCCGAGGAGTCCCATACTAGGACGAAACGGTCGTCCAGTGCTTCCAAGTTTTCCATGGTGATTCAGCTTCAATTGACTCATGAATCCAACTATTAAATCACCATAATATCCACAAAACCCCTGTCTAAATATATTTTTTGTTATTATCCCGATGAGTAGAAATAAAATTTTTCTACTCATAGGGATATGATAAAAAAATATTTATTACCATGTTCAATAACGTTCAGAGAGAATGAATTGCACAACTTCTAGGACTCCTATTGAAGGTCTGATGAATTAACAAATTTAACCAAGTATTTGACCATTAACTGGCCATTTTTCTCTTTCATACAATTCAGTGTCTGTAAAGTGTACCGTATGAAAGTATATAATGTAAGCCACCGAAGACTTTATTTGAACATAGTATTATTCACTTGGAAATAATTTTTGTTGTACTTAAACACATATTGTTAGCACGTAGCATAACTTATGTAGTCTTGACAATGGATGAAACTTGTTTCCTATAGATAAGAATGATCAAATACAAACAACGAATATTTCCCATTGTTGAGAAGTTGAATTTTGAAAACAAACTGTAGAGCTGACAGCGCCAATGAGTTGTGTACTCTATCTTTTATGGTTAAACTTATGGTTTGAAAGATGACCCATATCAGTATCCACTGTTATTCAGTTTATTATACATTGGTTTATTTCATTTTTCACTCAGCTATCTAGATGCATGAACCTCTTAACTAATCCCAACAAATCATCACAAAGAGTGAACATACACGCAGATCCCCATCGGTCTATTAGAAGTAGTTTACGCTTCGTTACTCCACAGTACATGCAACACGTATAAACAACATTTATCAACTAAGTACCTATACCTTGATCTATAAGTCAGTGATTACAAAATTAAACAATGTGGTGAACATATGAAAGATCTGGAATCCCTTCTTTAAGTAACAAATCGACATTACCATCAAGCACTTCTTTCAGATCTATTTCCAGAAAATAATCTAGGCCAAAATTAAAGTAGACTTTATGAAAGTAACTTGCAATTAGAAAGAACAAGTGCTACCAAACTAATTTAAATAACGATCATAAAGGAATTACCTTTCCATAACTTCCTCGCCCAATTGTAGAACCAAGCAGAAAACGATTGGCTAATACTTTAGGTGGTTTACTTCTATGTATGTATGACATACACAACGGGCTACTTAAATCAGTTGGATTGTATTCTGTTACGCCATGTGGTAGTCCACCACGTTTTAGTGTATCATCATGAGATAACTGCCTCAGCTTTAATGGTTTGAGAAAGAAAAAAACAGAGTAAATATTACTATTTCTATTATCAATGTGAAGAAGACAATTTCAAGAGAATTTAACTATATACCAGATTACAGATTTACATATTTGTTATATAAAAGACAATCATAACCAACCAATTAAGTTGAGGTACTTAAAGCGTTTCAAAACTTATAATCCAGTGATTATTTATCGGTTACTTTAATTGCTAGATAAAAACCGCCGGTCATATAAAATATTAATAGCTTATTAGAACGGTAGCTGAATAGTCGGAGTATACGGGTTTTAGTGTTGATTTGCTGGCTCGGACATTGCTCCTTTACTTAAATCTAAGCAACTATGTTGCATCACTACATCTTACGCATTATACTTATTTTTAGAATATTTCTAGAAATCTATTTGACCCTAAATAAGTGTGTATCAATCCGATTTGCGATGTAAAAAATCAGCACAATAAAGGTGAATGGGAAGGATAAAAACCAAATGAACTTGAATAATCATTTCAAACACATTAGAAAACAAATTAAGTAGCATATCTCTAAATAGAACAGTCGAAATCGGTGGATGAACACCATTAGGTGGAGACTGTATACGGTTACTTAAAAAGTGTACAACCTATATTATGTCACTAAAGATCACCAACCACTCGACTATAGCTTTAGTCAAGATGCAGTAAAGTTTGTCCACCAGGATGATCTGATTGTGTAACACTACCTTAGACAATTGTTCCTTTAGATACCGTCATACTAAAAAGGTCGGTTGAAATGCTTCAAAACATAGATAAGTCCATTCCAGATACAAGGGTAAAGTCATACTAATGACTGTAAAAGTGTGAAATTTTCTCGTCTCTTAAATTTCTTCTAAAATTTGTCAGGCAGACTATAATTTATGGACGAATCATAGTCCCGATGCCTCATACTAAGTTACGAACGTTCTTGCCTCTAGTAAGTATGTGAATACTCCTAAGGTTACATTAGCACTGCTCAAAGGTCGTCCATAAATTATAGTCTCACCGATACATGCTGTTAGCATCACCAGTATATAAGACTTAAAACTACCATCGTGGGAAAAGCAAAACTCCCAACGAGTTACCTGAGATTCATCTTGGCATGGTTTAGAATCAGAATAAGAATTAACGAGCAAACGATATCGTTCAAGAATTTTCAGGTCGTCATCTGCATTATCACCGTAGAAAGCTTCCATAGGACTAATCTCATCACGCAGCATAGGGGAACTGCCCTCCTTCACCTCGCTACTCTGTGTTTGGATTTTACAGTCCTCTGTAGATATATTACTCTGCCTTTCATCAATGAGATTTGAGGATTGGTAAGAAAGTGGTTCGGCCATTTCTTCGAAGAAATTTGCAAAAACTCCGGATCCACCAGCAAGATTTTGGCGAGAATGACTGGCCGAGTTTCGGTTTTCAATACTAGATGTAGATACATCTTGAAATGTGTCTTTTAACTCATGAGTCATATGATCGTCTAACTTTAGCATTTATTTGTATTGATGGGTAGAATGGTCACCGTTTAGTCCCATGTACGCATATTAAGCAAGACTTATGTCGTTTTTCCGATGAATTCTGTTAGCAAGACTTGATGGAGAGTAAAGAATTAACTAGATTTCTAACATACAGTCCATTTGTTCTACATAACGTAGCGCAGTCACCAGAAAGCCCGGTTCGGTATTGAATATCTAATATCTTCTTGACAGACTTGAGTAAACTTATTGGTTTCTTTGTGCTCTCGACTCGCGGTATTGGCACAGCTTCAAGTTTCTGCCGATAAGATCCAAGGTACAGAGTCATATGCTCCATCTATGAATAAAAGTGCAAGAGCCCATGTTATTTATAACTTCATATGCCTCTGCATGTGTTCAGATTTCCGTTAAATTGACCAGTCGACGGTAATGACATGACCTCCATCGTCTATAAAGAATAAACTTCACTCATAGCTCACTTCAATGGAAAATGTTTTGAACAAAAACTATTTCAACGAAGGAATACATATGTTTGTTGAACTCTAGAATCCTGGATCTTGAGAACTTACTTTATGATACTTAGCAGTAGCTCACAAGACAATCTTTGGGTCCCAAGGTTGTGCTCGCTCTGGTCAAGCAGATGTCAGGTGACTTTTGAGAATTATATGGATTCGGAAGAGGCACAGGATAACAGCATCCAGCACGACAGAAATGAACCAGAATTATCAGTTCACCAGTTAACTGTTTAGAATAAATTCTTAACGCTACCACTCGCCTGTTTTTCTTTGAGTAGAATTTATTAGCTTAGGTTAATTAGTTAAGAGTCGACCCCAAACGACTAAGTATATGCCAAAACATTAGAACTCATGTTTCCATTCACTTCTTTATTTATTCTGGTTTCGTTTCCCCACCCTCGTTTCTCTTACAAGCTCTGGTAACCATATAGAGGGCATGTAGTAAACCATCAGCGGTAGTCGCAGAAGAAATTCAATGCTATAAGATTACAAGCCAACAGATGAAGAGACATCCATGGACAATCGTCGAATAACGACGGAGTTGGTCGTCGTTGATTGAAAGCCAAACACTGAACGAGTTGATAATTATCCTTTGGGCTGTAGAAATAGAACGTATATGTTCGTGATAGATAGGTTGATCGAGCCGACGTTCCTACAGAACACGATTCTGGGAGGAAGTTAATGTAAGAGCTTGGGTTCACTAGTTGAGAGTCGAACTCAAATAACTAAGTATATTTCAAAACAACAAAGCTCAAGTATTCATTCATTTCCTAACTTTGTAAAGACATTATATTTCCTATTATCTCATATTGAATGTTGAAAAGCTTTTGGTGTATGATCAAGAAATCCACGGCTCCACGGTGACTGCCACGCGATCTAAATAAAGACCTATTCAATACTGGTCTGGGTTCATCTATCAATAGAACGAGGGTTACCTAAGGGCAAGAAAGAATCACCTACTTCAAATGAACAACCTAAGTATACTAAGCAATATGATGAGTTACGCGGATTAAGTAAGGTAATTAATCTTCGTTCCTTTGAAATCTCCTTGAAGTAAATGTTACGAACTTCCTTAGGTCTGTGTGAACGCATCTGTGTGCATCTTCCTTGTATGTACGTTGTATGAAAATAAAGCATTGTTTACCACTGAAGTTGACTTTGTTTCCTCAAATGTCCTCATTTCCGCGTGTCATAAATGATTTTTTATTCAAATTGAGCTGTTATTACTTTCTCAGTCCTTGATTTTGGTTTTGAATCATTTCTACGCCATTTTGTGGCATTCCGCCAACTGTCTTTGTTTTCACACGACTCAATCGTATATTTCAGTTGTTGCGTAGCTGAATGATTGTGGTTGACTATCTGCGCTCAAGGGGCGACTTACTTTATTCTTGAACTTCATAATAATATTTCTGGCTTGCCAGGAGCACGTGTAACAAATTGAATGCTTCTAAAAGTCATGATTTTCCCTGCTTGTTTTATACATAATAACTGTTATTCAGGGCTTCTGTTGCCATATACTAATATTCCTAAGTATTTTAAAATAAAGTTTTATTATCCGACTCTGAACAATGCCTTTCTTGCTGTTATATGGTGACAAACCGTTGACAATAAGGTTATTTTCCACTAAACTCGAGGTTATATAATGGTCAGAGTGGTGAATGTTGACACGTGGTGACATTTATCATCATTCACGAAACCCTTGAGAATGAGCATAATATAACTAAGAAAACTTAAATGGGACGTTCATTACTCGAAGGTCGGTAAAGCCTATCCAGGAATACTAAATAGAATCGGTATGGTTCAGCCGTATGGTTGTGGTAACTCTACGTAACGTCTTGTTTTTATCTTATACATATTATTCCACTACTACCGGGAATGTATTCAGCAATGTTTCTTGAAAGAAATTTCATTAACTTACATGATATGTGCGACAGTACAGACAATAACGTGGCTTAGTCGTAAAATATTAAAGGTTAGGTAGTCATATTATGCCAAGTCTGTAATGTTGGACTAAGTGTAGTATTTCGGTGGCATAGATAATTGTACTAATAGAGCCGTAAACCTAGATCATACAGACTTTTGATTATAACGGTTTATCGAATCCATGCACAAAGATATGTTTTATCACACTTTGTTGGAAATACATCTGCTGACTCTCAAGTATCAGACGCTTATTTGCTAACCGCTCGATCTGCTGTTTAGTACTCTATTTTGTACCAGAGAGACCTTTGACTGCATAGCGCAGGCTGATCATTTTGAGGCACTATGCACTTCAATATAATTTTTACATGGAGTTAGATCCGCTTAAATCGAGGGCAGAGTCTGCGTATTGATATAATTGAAAACGAGTGACTCAAGTAGGATTTGTATTTTACGAAGAAGGAGGTAGTTCGACTTTATCGAATGAACTTTAGTTCGTTAGCTTTTCATCCAGACTAATGATAATACTTTATTCTCGAATAACAATGTGTTACCAAAAAATATGCCAGTTTACAGGCAAGATCAATAAGTTGTAAATGCTATGGGATTTGTTATAATGAATTATTCAGTTAGGTTGAAACGTTGTATGACACAATGATCATAAGAACAGGAGCATAAAGTTTCGTAAATTAAAATATGAAAGTTAATGAGGCTTTAATTTTCAGAATACGTTTTGGAGGATTCTTCGCGACAAGCTAATAGTGATTGAGAAAGTATGCAAATGTAGTTCAGAGCTGTCTATAGCAAGAAGCAATGTGATGACTGCATGACAAGGCATTTTAAAACACCAACATTTACGCACTATTTTGTGTTTTTTGATGATGTTTCCAGATGAATGTCATAAGTAATAATGAAGGCGCAGAGCGAAGTCATATGTTCCATACATATGTTATTGAGGGAATACCATCAGGTTGCTGAAAATGAGAGGGAGAAAAGCAGAACAGACGATGTTCGTTTCTGATGGAATAATTAAGAGATGACTGCTTGAGCTTATTTCATATAGCCCATGTTCTGACGGACATGTGATTAAGTACTAACAGCTTTCTGTCCAAAATTCACGTGTTTACTACTATTTCAACGCAATACAACGAGTTTTGATAACAATTCATATATATTTCAAGTTTTAATAAATCCTATCACGGTGAAGCAATAAAAAAGTCGAGCAAATCTCCTTGTGACTAAGTAAACGGTATCAAACTTAACAAACTAACTGGGAAACCAGTTGGAATTCTTCCTCCCCGTCGTTATAATATTTTTTTTTAAGTCAGCCTATTAATTTAGGTGAGATTGGAAACCAACTCATTCGAACATCATATAGACATATTACTCACTTCCTATGTATTAGATTAGGTAGCCACATCATGAAAAACCTACGATTTTGAGATTATATCTATTATTATAGCAGCAAGGATAAGTGTACTAACATCGAATTAGACCATAATGCTACAGATCTACAATTACTCAAGCCAGCTGTCAAAAGCTCTGTAATCACCATAAGGTTATAGTCAGCAGGATGCTTCTTATAGGCCATTTGTAGTGATAAGTTCTAAGGACAAACCCCAGTGAAAGTGCAACAACGAGTCAACACCAGCCAGTGAGAATATTAACACAGATCAGTCAATCTAACAACACTATTACTGAAAAATGATGTTCAAAATCGTTCCTGCAATATATGATTAAGCTCAAAAAATTTCAGAGAAGCGTAGTCCTTCAACAAGCACATTTTATGTTTAAGACTAAAGCCGAAACAAGTGGAAGAAAAATTGTGACGAATGTTGAACAGTCATAATAAAAACTGAATTGCCAGTATGGGAAATGTGGAGATTGTTAATTTTTTTGATTGAGATCATGAATCAATTGATGTCATTCCAGGTTTCCAACGGTGGTCTAACATCAATAGATTCATGATCTCAATCAAAAACTGAATTACTGAACATTCAAAATCACAGTTTTTAGTGATTGTTGTTGAAATTCTTATCACAATATTTGTGTGTAACTAAAAATAGTCTGTTTTTTATTATATGCGGAATCGCAAACTATTTTGTTTCACTGTTTCACGGTTGTTTTCGTTTGTAAGTGCTCTTTCAATAGGTCGGTTTCCGCATGAGAATCAAACATAGAATCAAGCATTCACCATTCACTGAATGCAGATATCGTACTGCATACATATCAACCTACGCAGCCTTTGCTTTTTTGCTCATAGCTTTCGTTACTCCATACTGGTTACAATCATGGCCTAGACTTCATACACCGTTTATCCGCTTAGGATTGTGGGAATTTTGTGTCAATGGTTTTGTGCAACGTCTAGATCCCAATATGATTTCTTACTACGGTTGCTGGTGGATTCTTTCTCCGTATATGCGAAAAATATTCACGGATTTGGTTCCATGTACGTTTAACTTACCTAAGTATTCATCGTGAATCGGATTAATTTTAGTTTGGTTTTTGATCATCCAAGTTATGGTGACAGTATCTCTTTGTCTACAGATAGTAGCAGTGGTCACTCTTATTGCGTACATGTGTAAAAGGATTAGACATGTGGAACGTCAGTCGTTCTTTATCTCGTTAATTACATTCTGTCATTCTTGCTCAAGTAAGTTTTTTTCAGATCTTTGGTCTTTTGTGATAGCAAATCATTCAGTATTTTTATGCCTAAAAACTAGTTTCTCTCCTCTTTTGTTTTGGTACTTGAATGAAACGGTCAGTTTTCCCCATTTCTAACATGGTATTATAATTCGACCCAAATAAACATTTTTCAGACTGTCAATGTTCATTCTTTTTTTAATAAACGGAATACACCCATTATGACATTAAATAAGAAAGAAAGATTAGTTCAGCGAAGAGTTCTCTTTTCGGCGAATTCATTTTCAAAGCTGTACTCAGTTTATTAACGTCTCTCCTTCCTACATAT